AGAAATTCATTTCAAAATAAAAGACATAATTTTGAAAATTATAAAAAGACTATAATTTCAGTGTTACTATATATCTTACAATCTAAAGCAATTCTTGACCAACAGATGTAATTCCTTTAATTGCACGTATTCTACATCATTATGAAGATATTATACTTCGCACATGTACAATTTACGCGTTAAGATCCTCCGTGCGTCGAATACTGCTACCAGTACGCGCCCATAATGCGGATCAAATGCGATATCTGACTCAAACGGCGTATTTTTATACAGGCACCTTTGGACCTTCAAATTCTTTTTTTTAAATATGTTAGTGTAAAAAATGTAATATAATACAATTTCCAGAATATTACGTATAAAAATCAATTGTGCACCGAACGGAAGGTATAAAATGTACGTATAACTTCAACGACAATAATATTTTTTCCACAAGCGAAATTAAAAATTTCAATTTATCCGTATTTTGTCTTTTGACCTATAGTTTACATGTGTAAAATTTGATCAAAATAGTACAAAGTTTTATTTAAAAAATTTGCAAAATAATGTTAATTTTTAACATATTTTTTAAACAAATAAATTTTTCAAAAATCCACTTAGGTCATATTATTGGCCTTCTAAAACAGAAAAATTTGCACTTTTAATTTTTTGTCTAGGCCTAATAGTTCCTGAGATATTCGAGAAAATATGTTTTGCAACCCCAAATTTGGGGGCCATTTTCACCCCTTCAGCATGAACGATGGCCGATAAAAAAAAATATGTGTCAAATATTTTTTTGCGTTCTATATCATACTCAAAGCGCATCAAAATCGACGATTGGCGATTGGGTAATGTCCCTTGTTAGTTTTAGTACTTTTTTACTATTAATTAGTTTTTAACTTTTAGTTTTACAAGAAGTTTGTGTAATACTAAAACAATGTTATCCAAGTTTTTCTTTCAATACAAAAATGAATAAACATCTAAATGTATAAAATTCCTCAAGATGATCAGTAAAATCTCAAATATAAAAACAAGACATAAAAAAAATTTCAACCTAAAAGCACGGTTCGTTAATACAAAGACTCGTTAGAAATATTTACTTACGTATTTAAGTTATATCCATGCATTATGACACACCCAGTACAATCTACAGAAAAAAGAACTCTTAAAGCATTCGATTAAAAATTTCACGTAAAATACATTTTAAATTCAGAAGCTTGCGCGAAATTCAAAGAAAAAAGACGGACCAAGCGATGAAAAATCTTTTCCGTATGCTGTATTTACGCGAAACAGCTTTGTATGATAATTTCAGATGGTTGCGACGTGGGAGCAACGGGAAATAGTAGGTGCGTCGACGAGCAGAAATGAAAAGTCACAAGAACGTCATTAGCATTGCAAATCGTCAAGGGCACTATGCCATCGTTACATTTTTTTTCCACGGGTGCAAATGATTCTCACGCGACTCACTGTACGTTTGTAACACATATTAAATGTGGAGCTTTCATTTTCTACGCAAGAACATGAAATCACCTTTCATGTTATTAAAGAAGAAAAGCTCAAAATGGTTGAAATATTTTACTGGAATTATAATGAGCTGACAAAACTATTATATGCGGCAGGTGACACCATTTCGAGTATAACAGTCGATAATTGTTATATAAAAGTTCGAGGCAGTTGTAGTAATATAGAGAACCTGTTCCTTAAATACATATCATAGAACTGATATTATAAATGTTTAAAATGTTTTAACCGAAATTTCTGTTCAAATATAAATTACCATCTGCTCCAGTTATGATTCCTATGTCGTATTACTCTTTGGTATGTACTATATTGATTTCAAAGCCATTTCAGAATCGAGTTTCGTATTTGCTTTAGAGTAACTGAATTAATAGATATTATGGTTATACTTTGTTAACAGAAATATTGGGTATATTCATTGTTAGAAATATAATACAGATATAAAATATATTCTACTAGTTTTTATCCCAGAATTTCCAGATTTCCAAATACATAAATTCTCAAATTAACAAATTCAAAAATTATGAAATCTCCAAACTTCAAAAATTTTGTAATATCCAATAATTTAAATCTCCAAATTCGGAAATGCCCAAGTTTTCAGCTTTTCAAATACTTAAATGTAAGAATTTTCAAATTGTGGAATTTCTAAGTCTCAAACTAAAACTACCTTAATTATAAAATTTTTAAATTTCTAAGCCTCTAAATTCCTTAATTCCCAAATTCTTATATTCTTAGGTTCCTATATCTCTAAATTCCTAAATTCCTAAATTCCTAAATCCCTCAATCCTTAAATCCGTAATTCCGTAAATCCTACAATTTCTACACCTCTAAATTTCTAAATATCCAATTTCCCAAATGTCTCTGTTGTGCTGCGCGTCAACTGAATGCATACGCATGCTGGTTAGGTATTGTATCAGTGACCACTACTCCGATAATATGAATAAACAAACTGATGTAGGAGGTATAAGATGTTTTAAAGATGTTTGCTAGCTAAGAGCTGGCGAGAGAATCTGCTCTGTCTAAAATGAGTGTTTTTCACGAAAACTAAAAATGCGGAGTAGGATCGGCATGTATTTGAGGGTGACAAGCGACTTGTGAAAAATTAACCATCAGATTGGTCGACAAAATATTGCAAGAAGGGTAAGACCCGCCCTAACAAAATGTTTGAGCTCAGGTCAACTTTGATCTGAAGAGTGTCGACTACACCGTCGCTTGTCACCTAATGGTTCGACAATAATAAAATTAAATTATGTTGGGCCTTAATAAAAATATAAAAACATATACAAATTTCGGAGTGACAAATTGCCCGCAATAAACCGCTGCAACAGTAACGGTCATTTTCAAGAATATTCCAACTAAATGAGTTCCAACAGTCCCAATTCCTACATTCCCATATTCTCAAATTCCCAAATTCCCAAATTTTGAATTCTTAAAATTTCCAAATTTTTAAATTCCAAAATTCTATTCCGAATACTTCATTCAGCAAAAGACGTATAATATTAATGTAAATTTTCCAAAATAAAAAAAATGACAGACATTTCAATAAAAGCTATTATTTCATGTCTTTTAAAAGTATTTTAAAGTGCAGTCATTATTCCCTTTTTGAAATTCATACAATGAAATGCAGTCAATGGATTTCATTAATATTCAATTCAATACTGTTTATTATTGTTTATAGAGATAGTTTGAATACTGAAGTTACATTGTTCAAATGAACCTGTTGGTTTACTGGGAAAATCCCTAATGGATTCATAAACCATTAATGTAACAAAGAAACGAACTAATAAGGAATTGAAACCAAATAATGAACACGCAAATAACAATGAAAATTTTATTTCTACGTACTGTAAGTCGTTATTGATTATTCAAATTAAAAATCCAATGCTTCTAAAACTCTCTAACAGCTAGTCATTTTATTGTAAAAAAAGTGTCAACATACATTGTCACTTAAAAGTTTGAAACGCACTTTGCTTTTTTGCATAAAACATGCTTTTAAATACATATCATGCAGTTTTATAAAATATAACATTGTGTAAAGTATGTTTTAAGACATTATTTAGAAAAAAAATGATAGAATCACTAAGATACAAAATGGACTATTTTAAAAGAGAAAATAAAAGACTTGTATATTTTACATTTAGTAATATAATGCGCTGTCAATTATTTAGCTATCTTATTCAATCATATTATCGCCTAAACAAAAGCTTGCGCAAAAGAAGGTGCATGTCACCTTAAGCATTCAATTAAAAAAAAAAAGTTTCTCATTATCGAATAGCAGTTTATATTAACAGTATTTTCATTTCATTGTAAAAAACCGTTGAAAAATGTCAAAGCACTTCAGATAAATTAAACGTAGTGTAGAAATATAATATTTTGAGTAAATCCTTTGTTTCTTTAAAGGAAGATATTATTTCTTCCGAGGACATTATATATATCATGATTGTAACGTAGGCTTCGTTAACCTTGACTATTTTTTAATTTATAAAATTTCGAATTTCCAAATTTAAAAATGTAAGAATTAAAAAATTTACGAGTCTAGTGTCTAAATTTCTAAACCCCAAATCCCTAGATTTCCACATCTCTAGATCCTCAAATCCCATAAAGCCGGAGACACACTGCCATCACGTCACGTCACGGTACGTGACGAATTAAGATGTGAATGACGTATTTCGACTGAGAAAAATGGTGCGCGTTCACATTGCACGTCAACTCACGCTATTTCGAGTGTTGTGCGTGCAGTATGAACTCTCGCCATCCTCCACAGTGGAAATACGTAACTCACATCTTAGTTCCTTACATGCCGTGACGTGACGTGACGTGAAGGCAGTGTGAACGATCGCTATTTTTCTTAATGGAAATCGTAGCTCACTTCTTACAATTAGTTTGTCACGTGCCGTGACATGACGTAACAGCAGTGTGTCCCCAGCTTAAATACTTATGTTCTCAGATTTTTACGCCTCCAAGTCGTAAGATCCATAAATTCCTACCTCACCAAATTTTAAGCTCCCGACTTCCGAGATTGTCAAGCCTCTAATGTACTGAAATTTTTAACCGAACTCTAAACTTTTAAGTCCTCGAAGATTCATAAAAATTAACGATGGGGTGACCTTCTCCACCTTAATTGCCACATTTCCTCTAGAGAAGCCAGATTTGCTCTTGAACAAAATATATTTAAAAGAACTAATATCATAAATAGAAGAACCATAATAAGTAGAATTAGAGAGAAATATATCGTTGTCAATAGATTTATAACAATCTGTACGCAGGAAAATGAGAAACGATATCATAGCCAAGTAAATAATGACACTGGCGACGTTCGAGTATCATTGGTGAGGTGCAAAACACGATCAGGTTGACGAGTGTAGCCGCGAAAGGTGGCAAGTTTGTCGATGCAATACTAATTACGGGATGGGTTATAATCGAAACACCACACACGGCCAACATATCATCGTTGCACGTTGAATGCAGCTTTAACGGTGGCTGCAGTTGTGCCGCGTCATTCATCGGTCCGATATGTGCGGCCGTTATTAGCAAAATTGCGTGAGCTAATTGGCTAATTAGTGATTAGGGACGTGAGTTCCGCCAATTCGTTCCAATGTGTTGATGAATTACTGTTTTCAGTCTGCTGCAGGCGCACAATTATACTCGACTACGAGTCCTAGCAATGCCGTCCGTCGTCGACCGGAAGATTTCGAATTGATACGTGTCATTTGACGCCTAATGTTTCAGCGTCGGTTGTCAACCGTTATACTACGCTCGTGAATTGCTACCCACCTACGGAATTCACAATCATAATTAGCGTGTATACGCTGAAGTTAAAGATACCACAACGAGAACAGCGCTACTGTTCACGGATACAAATACCACAAAGCCTTGATATAAGAGAAAATGATCTATACCAGCGCTTTTTAAACTCTGGCTCGCGACCTCAAATAGGATCGTAGCTACTTCTTTTTATCTGTATGTTGTTCATCAAAGAAATAAATTATTTATGCGAAAATATTTATCTTTACATGTATATCTGTATCTGATTATTAAATCTGGAATCGTGAAATGATCTCGATAATAAAAAAGGATTATGGAAAATTTAAGAAGTGCAGATCTACACGATATAAGTGAAAACACTATCTCCCTACTGAGAGAAGATCCGTTGAGACACTATCTGGATTCTAATGTATCCGTGAAACAATATTAATGCAATTATGAAACTTTATTATTTTCGATTTTTCGATATCAAACTTTTATCAATAGATTTTTTATGTTTTTCTGGTTAAAATGAGAGCAAACATATCGTAATTCGGAACAGATCCACTTATTATTAAAAATTCTTGATACAAGTGAGAAGCTTGAAATTATAAGTAAATATGTCCTGAATCACGTCGTGTTTAGTCCTGTTTTAATCACAAAAATGTCACAAGTATGTTTGAAAAAGCTTCATAAAAAAACAAATAAAATAAAATCCTTTTTTTTGTATTAGGATATACTACTGATTGTTTATGTTTAATCGTTTGGACGTTTTCTTCATTCACTGTCTTTTTCTATTATATGTTTAGCAAACTTTAATCAATGTAGGAACTACACAATATGAGTGAAAGTTTAGACCCGAAAGATTGCTTCTATCGAGGCTTTA